TCTTTTTTTTTTTTTTTTTTTTTTTTTTTTTTTTTCAGTGAAGTTTTTTTTTTTTTTTAATTTTTTTGTTCAATTCTTCCTTAGTCCGAGAAGGTCATTTTGACCAGCTGCATTAGAACTGAAATATCATGACCCAGGGATATTTTTCATCGTACATTATTTTTGAAGAATTAAACGTCTATAAATCAAAATAAATAGTAAAAACTGATTGTATTATATTTTGTTTACACATCCATTTTACAAAACGCAACTTGGAAACTGGAGTAAAAACTTCATATCATCCCTGCCAATTAATACACGCCCGTGAAACTGCGATAAAAATCCTTAAAAAATAAAATTATTCTTTTTTTTAAATGTTACAAATATATATATGTATGTGTGTAAAATTCTATTTTAAGACTCCAATTTCATGAACAAAAAAAATTGCGTACATTAAGGCTCCACTTGTTTACTTGGCGATTTTTTTTCTTGATGTTTTCTGCCAAATTCTCTCATAAACAAACGAAATGGACGCTGTAATTACAGTTTAAAGTTAACTGCAGCAAGTTACATAAGTTAACACTAGTTACACCAGTTTAACTGTTGTCATCTTTTGGTGAAATCGGAGGCCTTAAGTGTAGAATCCCCAAAAATGTCAAGTCTCCCGTAATGGACTAAGAGATAAAACGACAGAAGAAAATTATAATATACAAAGTGAATTTAATCAGTTTGATAAATTCATTCAATGTGGTCCTGCATCTATAAAACTGACAGCCAAGGTTTTACAATTATAGCTTTTGCTTGTAAGCAGGTTGCATAATATAGGTTATATAATCAGTATCACTTCAATTTGGGTGACCTCGCTTCTCTGTTCTATCTACCCTAGGCCTTCAAATACGAGGTTCTCACTTCTGCTTCACTCTGCCTCCACTAGGTTAAACAAAAGCAACGGGGGGGTTTTCCATATGAGGTGTCATATCAAAGCATTGACTTGTTTCCTCTAAAAGTTCCTCTCCAAAAAGAGTGACTTTAACTGTTTATTGTCTTTCTTAGAGATAGCAAATTGGCTGCATTTGCCGACAAAATCCCGTGGCACTTCCAAAGGGAATATCTGCTTTTACTATTTGCTAGCATCTCCATCAGATATAAGTTACAGATGCACATGTTCATTGGGTAAAATCTCAGAATAGGGGCAAATGGGATTTGGCTTCAAAAAATATTTTTCGCCAAAGTGCGCCAAATGACGGCTGTGATTCTAAATGAAGAAAATTGCAAAATTACTAGGATAGCTCGATTTCGCGAAGTAGAATTTGAATTTAAAAAATGCTGCTATTTTTAGGAAGTTTAACGTAAAAATATGAACAAAAATTCCTGAAAATTTGAAGAAATTTTAGGAAAAATGTACTTACTCCGGGATGCCGGAATACGATTAAACTGCTTAGGTTACTTTGGATTGTATATTATGCGGTATAATGTTCTCTCATAAAGACATCCATGCAGATTACTCTACACCAACTCTTCAAATCAGTCGCGGAATTCATCTCACATTCAATTTCATCAGCTATACGCAATCAAATGCCTACGGATCCGAAAGCAGTCATACTCCTTGCAATCATACATAAATCTCATTATGAGATTACGTATCGTACAAACTCATTTTTGATTGAGAGAACCACGAATTTGGACGGATGGATCTCTTTAAAGATTTTTACTACATCATTAAATTTCGCTCTGCATCTCCACATATATCCAACAGATTTATCTCCCATAACAATTAGAACCCTCCTAACATTTCCACATTATTTTTAAGTAATACACACGACATTCATAGCAATCAAACATTCAATAATTTTAAACCTACCTTGACATTCCAAATTCCTGTAGAAATCAATGCTGTTGTACGTTTCATTCAATGTGGAATCTTTGTTCCGAAATAAAATTCTGTACTTACGTATTAACGCCACCGCAGCTACAGATTTGGCGGTTTTTAAGTGCCGCCAATTTTTGTGACAAATCATAAAACATATAAAACACTTTTTTTTAATTTATTTAAAAACATAGTAGTCAATCAGATTTCGGTGGAAAATGGGCCGATATAGAATTTAACATAAATTCAAAACAGTATCTATTTTGGGGCATTGTCAGCTCTTTATTGGCGCATTAGTGCATCTTCTGCTCCGGTGACGTTGATACGTAAGTACCTAAAATTCTTCAATATCACATAGCGCTAATCGGAAGACTTTGGTCAGCACACAAGAAAAGAAAACAACCGCAGTCTCAACTGGTAACGAGTGAAATGAACCCTTAATAAAATTATCGGTTTCTAATTCTCCTTATTCTCTCAGTAATTGGATTAAACCACGTGATTAATCTTGGTCAATCCTAACCATGTAATTAATATTGACCAATGAGGCATTAGGAGATTCCTTGTTTACCACATTTGGTGATTTTTTGCCATTTAACTGCCAAAAAAATTCGCCAAATCACAACAGTTCCTATTTTTCGGTTTGGCAGTTCATTTTCAACTGTGTTTAAATTTTTTAACTTTCTCACACTTTCAATCATAATTTTCTTGCATTCATTCCTTAACTTTAAAATGAATTAAAATTAAAATTTAATTTTTAAATCTTCACAAATTAAAAAGAAATATTTTCTAAATTTGCAAAAATAATTCCATTTGCATATTTTATATGCTTGTCAACCACGAGAAAATTAAAAATTGGGCAAAATCGCAAAACAGGAGCCATTGGATTTGGCGACTTCTTTGTGGCGGCATATGTGAGATAAGTTGCCATCTGTGGTAATCCGAGTTTCTTGTAGTGTTTGCAATTCAATACACTTACAATAGCAACCCGCTGCTTGGTACACTTTGGCGTCAAATCCCAATAGCCCTTTTCTAAGATTTTACTAAAAATTTCAGTTCATTAAAATATGATAAAAGAATTTACAGTATTTTTTTGATATGTTTATATATATTCTACTGCATTTTATACATCATCGCCGGTTTGGCTACAATATTAGGTTCCGAAATAGGATTCAACAGATTTTATACTTTTCTAATATATTTTTCAAAACTTTTTAACCATCTTTTATGCATATTGTTTACTTATTTACCTTTCTCACTTGGATACGGAGTTTTTGAAATTTTATCTTTTTCCTTTCATCTTTTTCTTTATCTTTTTTCTTTATCTTTTTCATTTTCTTTCCTTTTCTGATGCTCCGTTTCGTTTTTATCTTTAGAGCTTTTTTGTTTCATCTGTTCCGCATTTGAATGGGACCTTTCATGCAGTTCCTTTGAGGTCTTTTTCTCACTAAGTCTGCCAGTTTTTTTACCACTGCTTGACGTAGAATCTTCTTTTTGTTTAATGTCAGATTCTTTAGTTTTATTACTAATATTTTCCGTTCCACCGACAGTTTTAGTGTCCTTTCCTTTTCCAGCTGACCCCTTGTGCTTGGTACTGGTTTCAAATTTTGTTTCTTTTCCATGTGGACCAGAACTTGCTTTGGTTTCGGATTTATCTTCGGTTTTCGTCTCAGTTCCTGTTCTATTACTTTGATTGAGAGGACTGTCGTCTGATTCCTCGTTGGATTTGGGATCTTTTATTTTTTTCTCTGTGGACCCTGACATTTTTCGAAATATTTTTCAGTATCTCGCAGTTCGTTAATTCCTGTATCTATGGATGACGCAGACGACTTTACCACCTTTGGTATATTTTTCAATGAAGACTTCAAATTTCAAGCTTCGTAAGGACACTGATGTTGGTGTTCTATAAATTTATCACTTCTGTAACGGAGTCCACATAAACGGCAGTTAAAAAACGGAGCTTCAGATGTCTTTCAAATAATGCATTAAGGCAATGAATGATTCGTAATGGGGTTCAAAAAAACTATATGAAATTGATCTAAAACTCTTTAAATAATTGATAAAATTAATTTACTGTAAAAAAAATTTGACTATGATAAAACGGCAAAAATTTAAATTAATAAACTTATTCCTTTACTTATAACTTTCTAAATGATATCGCGTGCATGATATATCATTTGATTTTAATCACAGGAAATGCCATTTAATAAAACATTATTTTTTTTTAAATATCCCTTTTTTAAATATTTTTCTTTTCTTTCTGGAAGCTCTATCTCGTGAGTATTAAGAAATCTGTATGACTGTATGAAATCATGAGGCAAAAAAAATAATATAAAAGTTTAATATGGCTTTTAAAAAAATATAAATTAGTGAATATTTGATGGTATATATAATTTTTAATCACAATCTTTTTTAACGCAGTAAGAAAGGAAATTAATCCTTTAATGCCAAAATTTTGAATTTCTTTACATATGAATTTTCAATTCAAAAGTTTAATTTCATGATTTTATTATCAAGTTTTTCTCTAGATTCAGATGGATTAGTTTTTCATATGCTTTATTAAAAAGTAAGGCCTATAACATTTATATTAATCATTAACCACGACAAACGCCCTTAAATTACCTGCACCTTCTCAGCATAGATATCACGCCCAGCAAGATATTTTGGATGTCCTAGAGAACTTTCTGTTGATTCCAAATTAATTCCTAAACACATTCATTACACTTCCTATATGAAAATAATCGAAGGATTTTTTAAACACCCCAACTTTGAGGATATATTAAAAAAAAACAAATTTTAAAACATTTTTTGATATACTGAGAATACACAAAATTTCCACATTTCTTAAAGGGAATTTAAATAATTAAGATGTGTTGTTGTTGTTTCTTATCCCACTTGGCTGGCCAAGCCCACGAGCCCATATGTACTCATGATTGAAGGGGAAGGAAGCAGCTTCTGTTGTGATGGAGCACCCGTAGGTAGAAGTCTGACTTTGGCTCCGTTACGCTCTTACAGTCATAGGAGACCGGGACCTACGGCGTAAAGTGGATACCGAACCACTACAAACATCCATGGCACCGCCGGGATTCGAACCCGAAACCTGTGGCACCGAGCGCCAGAGCGCTAGACACTCGGCCATTCAGGTCCCAAATTTGCCAACGGCACGCGGTGTTCCCAGGTGGTCACCCACCCAAGTACTGACCGCGCCCAATGATGCTTGACTTCGGTGATCTAACGAGAAACGGTTTAAGATGTAATTGATATAATTAAGACCAGGGAAGATACTACTAAGTTTTAAAAAAGTAAGCTTGTAAAAGTTTACCCTATATGCATTCAAATATTTGTAATATTATTACTAAATATTAGAAAAACCGATCCAGCTGCATTTTGACTACAAATTTCCATTACAATTGTATTATCCTCTTTTTTTTAATGATTAATTCTCATTCCTTGCAGTTTTAAGTGTATAAATAATTTACCTTGTAAATGTGCTTTTTAAATGGGTTGTATTCATGGGTTTAAAGTTTTCCTCCTTATTGCAGTAACTTTTTATATCATTTAAACATAATATCTTTTCATTTCAGAAAAATATTTGTAATATCGTGGAAAACATTTGAAATTAATAAATTCTTATATACAAGTAATAGATAAATTAATTTAAATTATTGAAGGAAAGAAAACAAATATATTTGTATACCAGGCAGGCTTTTATTTCTTCTTTTTTTAATACCTTTAACTTTTTCTCTTATTAAAAATAAACATATTTCAAGATGTATAATTACTTAAATTTTTTCAATTGTTTTTTTTATTGATTTTACCAAAGCATATTATATTGAGAATAAATAATCAAGAAAATTAATTGTTGATTGAGAAAATAACGATTTCATTAAAATTAAACAAACCCTTTTCTTTGTAGAAACAAAAAATGCTTATTCTATAAGCTTTAATTCATTTTACGATGGCTGATTATATAATTCAATCATATAGTATACGTTTCTTTATCTGAGTTTTAATACAATATAATATGTTCAGGCCATTCACCATGATAAAATAAATAAATATTTTTTTAAATAGGGTACTTGTATTAAAATATTTATTCGAAAATATGTTCTAAATAATTAAGGCAACTTGACGGTATCTTATTTAGGAATCTTGCGTAGTATTTTATCCATACAACATTTAGCATATGTATACGAAGGTATATGGCTTAACATATAAAAATATATACATTATTGTGATAAAAAGTAATATTTTATCAATCTTTTTTCCATATAAAATGCATAAAAATACTTCTCTTTTCATACTTTAATTTCAGCTGAATAAACAATATAAACAATTCTATGGAAGTCCTTCTTTAAAAGTTTTTTTATTTGAGATAACTTTTATTTCAAAGGAATTATAATGCTCTTCAATGTAAATATTTTATTTATAACCAAACAAAACTTTTTACATCAGCAATTACTCTCCTATAGTTCGTCTTATCCGTCATGCCCTGTATTTGTTTTGAATACACAAAATTATCCCAAAAATCTATACCCTTTTAAATATTTATTGAATTTCAAAACATATGTGCGAAATGAAATAATTGGATAGTTAATTAATTTCAAAAAATATGAAATAGCATTTGTATATTTTATTTATGAAGTGGCAACAAGATGCCTTTTTTGATACTTATTTCAGAAGCGCGGGGAAATAGATTAAAATAGTGTTATTCCACGAAAATTATTTATGTAGAAAAAAAATTAATGAACTAAATGTCTTTAAATCATAATTTTTATCTTTTATAAATAATTTATACATCTTATATACGAACAAGAAACCAAAATGGAGGACAACATTTGTGAACTGCAAGTTGGTAAAAATTCAATCATATAATATGATATTTTAGACTCCTCGGACGTCAATATGCAGGCCTTGAAATCTGTATTCGGTGGGATCAACGGTTTTTTTTTCCCGGTTTTGGATATTGATTAAGACAATTGTATTATTATTGGCAATTTAGTAATACGGTGTTTGTTTGGCTCGGCAATCTATGAAACATTTTTTTTTCTTTTTTTTATTCTTTTCTTTTTTATTTATTTATTTACTTGTTCTTTGCTTATCATCGAGTTGCTGCATCACATCTAGGAGGAGGTGTAGAATAAAAAAGTGAGCCCGCAATCACACCCAAACAGAGAAACGTCTATCAATCAAGTCGAGATTATTAATTGTTTTCCTTGGCGACAGTTGGCTGTCAAACTACAATAAACCAGAATTGATAATGCTATAGGATAACAGGGTGGTATAAAACTCCTAACCTCTTTCGAAAAGTATTTTTAAAAATTATAAATATAGAAAATAGAAACATATACACACAAGAGCCAAAACATTATGACCACCTGTCAATACTGAGTTGGCCCACCTTTGGCGCGCAACACAGCTTCAACCCGCCTTGGCATGGATGCCACAAGTCCTTGGTAGATGGCTGGAGACAGATTGTAAAAGATGTTTAACCAACGGTCACGCAAATCCGAGATATTGCGAATTGGTGGTCTTTGAACTCTGAGCTGCCGTCCCAGCACATCCCAAATGTGATTCTATCGGATTGATATCTGGTGAGTTAGGCGGCTAGGACATTAACTGGAATTCAACATCATGTTCCTGGAACCACTCCAACACAATTTTAGCCTTGTGAAAAGGGGCGTTGTCCTGTTGGAACATTCCATTTCCAGCTGGAAAAACAGAGGCCATGTAAGGGTGCAACTTGTCCGCAATGATGTTCAGATACCCTGTGGCATTCATGGTCTGCTCTACCACAACCACGGGTCCCAGAGACACCCAAGAGAACGTCCCCTAAAGCATAATACCGCCACCACCAGCCTGTGTATGACCTACTGTACATAGAGGGAGCAACTGTTCGCCTGGAAGATGGCGTATCGTGACACGGCCATCGGCGTGATGAATGACAAACCGTGATTCATCTGATCAAGCAACTCTCTCCCATTGATCCATGGACCAGTCACGATGTTCCCGGGCCCAGCGCAGGCGCAGTTGGCGATGACGCTTGGTCATCAAAGGCACACGAGTGGGACGTTTGCTGCGTAGCCACATATCCAATAGTGTCCGCTGAACAGTGAGCTGAGATACTATTCTACTTGGCCCTGCATTGTATTGGTCTGTCAGCTAAGCCACTGTCTGGCTCCGGTTTTGCTTCACCATGCTAGACAGTCTCCGACTACCTTTTTCTTTGATAGCGTGTGGACGTCCAACACCATGTCGTCTACTGCTGGTTTCACCGTCATTCATCCACTTTGCATAAGTGCTAACAACTGTAGATCGCAAACAACCCACGAGTCGTGCAGTTTCGGAAATACTTGTTCCGAGCCTTCGAGTCATTACAATCTGCCCTCTATCAAAGTCGCTTAGATCCGCAGCCTTTCCCATCACACACAGAAGTAAGTGAAAGAATGATTCTTCAGTCAGTCAGTTTCAGGTTTACGGAGTTCCATGGCCTTATATGGGCCTAAACTCCTAGCTGAGAGTAAGTCACATGGTGATATAAAAAACATTAATAAGCAACAAAGCAGTAAGTAACCAAGATCTGTCCCAATTTACCAGATCAAAATAAAATAAAAGAGCAACGAGTAAATCAGAGAATTTCAATAATAGAAAACATAGATTAAGAAAAGAGAAATATAAAGATAATTATAATAATAAATAAAGATATAAGAATGATTCTTCAGACTCTCCAGCAGCAGTTAAATACCACTTCCACCTGATCACGTGACTTCCACGTCATCCAGGCGAGTTCATTGCAAAATGTAGGGGTGGTCATAATGTTTTGGCTCTTGAGTGTAGTTTGCAATATTTGAAAATGCAAGTTTTCGTAACAGGCGTTTCTTTCTTTCTTTCCCCCCATTTTATGCTCAATTCTTCCTTCGTCCGAGAAAGACATTTTGATCACTTGAACTCAACTTGAACTTTGATCACTGCACTTGAACTCAAATACCATGCCCCAGGGATTTTTTTCATCATACATTATTTTTGAAGAATTAACATCTATAAATCACAATAAATCGTAAAAACTTATTGTATTATATTTTGTTTGCACATCCATTTTATAAGAAGCAACTTGAAAACTGGAGTAAAAGCTTCATATCATCCCCGCCAATTAATATACGCCCATGAAACTGCTATAAAGATCCTTAAAAATTAAAATTATTCTTTTTTTAAAATGTTACAACTATACATATGTGTGTGTAAAATTCTATTTTAAGGCTCCAATTTCATGAACAAAAAAACTGACTGAAAAATTGAAAAATTGAACTTCCACAAGTAGTACACACGACATTCATAGCAATCAAACAATCAATAATTTTAAACTTAACTTGACATTCCAAATTCCTGTAAAAATCAATTGTACCATTCACTCAATTTAAAGAAATACGTGGAATCTTAGTTCCCGAAATAAAATTATTCAATACCAGATATCGCTAATCGAAAGACTTTGGTCAGAATACAAGGAAAGAAAACAACTTCAGTCTCAACTGGTAACGAGTGAAATGAATAATTAATAAAATTATCGGTTTCTAATTCTTCTTATTCTTTCAGTAATTGGATTAAACCTCGTAATTAATCTTGGTCAATCCTAACCATGTAATTAATATTGACCAATCAGGCATTAGGAGATTCCTTGTTTACCACATTTGGGGATTTTTCCCATTTAGCTGCCAAAAAAATTCGCCAAATCATAGCAGCTCCTATTTTTCGATTTGGCAGTTCATTTTCAACTGTGTTTAAATTTTTTAACTTTCTCACACTTTCAATCATAATTTTCTTGCATTCATTCGTTAACTTTAAAATGCATTACAATTTAAAGTTCATTTTTAAATCATCACAAATTAAAAATAAATGTTTCCATAAATTTAAAAAAATAATCCATTTGCATATTTTATATGCTTGTCAACCACGAGAAAATAAAAAATTTGGCCAAATCGCAAAATAGGAGCCATTGGATTTGGCGACTTCTTTGTGGCGGCATATGGGAGATAAATCGCCACCTGTGGTAATCTGAGTTTCTTGTACTGTTTGCAATTCACTACACTTACTATACCAATCCGCTACTTGGTACACTTTGGCGTCAAATCCCAATGACCCCTATTCTACGATTTTACTAAAAATTTCAGTTCATGAAATGATAAATGAATTTACAGCATTCTTTTGATATGTTTATATATATATATTCTACTGCATTTTATACATCATCGC